AATTTTGATTTAGATATAAGTATATTAAAAGTGAGGTAAATTAAGAATATTGATCTAACAAAAATTTCCATCAATGATTTTACTAATATATTCCTTTTAAAAAAGTGAGGTATATTCTCTAAAAAATAATCCATCAAAATAACATATTTCAAAGAAATAGTTAGAGTTAAAGGAAGAGTAACCCAATGAAAAATTTATTTTTTTCTTTAAACATTGAACATCGTTATAAAGAATAAAAGAGAAATTCAAGGACAACTAAAAATTTAGACACCGAGGAATTCATGGTGAACTTCAAATATTTGGATTTGCTTAAACATTTTGTTGATTTCTTGTTGCATATAAAAGTTTGATTAATTTGAACTTTCCTTTTTTATTTACTTTATTTTATTACTCTATACAACCTAATGATTTGGATGTACCACTATTTTATATTTTTGGGTTTTTGTATTTTAGTTAATTGTAATCTTATACTAAAGGCCATTTTTTGTTTTTTTTTTCTGCCAACAATAATCTCATACCTTCCGTTGTTGTTATTTGCTAGTGTATTTCTTGTGTTTAGTATTCTTGTTGTTGTTGTTGTTGTTTATTGTGCGCTTCTAATAAATCTATCATATGTTTTTTGTGGTGATAACATAGTAACATTGTTGTTTTATTTACGAAAAGTTTAGACAATAATTTGTCAAAGTATGACTTTAATGATACTAGGCAAGGGCATAAAATCTATAGCTCGATGGTGTTAATGTTTTTTGATAATAGCTGTAATTCAAATCTTATAGTGTGTTAACTTTACATATCCGATTTTTTCACTCTGTTTTCTTTTTTTAGCCAAATCTAAAATATTCACAATTCTTTAACTTAACTACTTTTTGGTGATCCGTATTTTTAACCTGATTTTTTGATAAAACGTTTTATTACTTATATTTTTGGTGTATCGATGTATTATTATGTCCTGACTTGCTAACTATGGTTTAGAATAAACGCATCAAAATATAGTTTAATTGTGGAAAAAAAAGGGGAAAGTTTATTATGTGTCGCGCATTTCTTAAGACCACCTTTGTATTTTTGAATTTATGATATAAAACATATCCTAAGTCACTCCAAACACATTCCACTTTGGGCCATGATTTTGCTGCTCAAGATATAGTGTAAATCCATTGCTCTGTCAGAATTTAAAATAGACGGTGCAAAAGAAATTTAATATAAACTATTTTTAAGGTTCAAAGACCAATATTTGTTTTTTTATATCTATGGTGGTCGAGATTATGGACTTGCTTAGATCTAAATCTATATTTAAAATAGATCATGGAAATAAAACATGTTTAAATTACTGCACCTACCGACCCCCCAAAAAAAAAACCCCACCAAAAAATGAAAAGAAGGACCTCAAGTGGATTTCTTCTTCCTAAAACTTTTCTAGTTTCTATTAGTTTGTATACCCGCAATTGAGCACATGCACATACACAGACAGAAAAAGAGGACAACAATTTTAAAATAAATGTCAAGAGAGAGAGACAAAGAGAGAGATTTGATAAATGGTGTCAAGATGAGGCATAGAAAAATGGTGACCAGATGAGGCAAAATATAATGACGAATTGATATCTATTTCTTTAATTACGATAAAGCTTGGATGATGATTATGATTTAACGTTTAGTTCTTCATTTGATTTTTACTATTAAGGCATGCTTCCATTTTACTACTCCTTTATTTAAATCCCAAGCTCTAGAGTGCTTTATCGATCCTGAAGCTTCTGAAGCACACATCTAAGATGCTCTTTTACCACAATAATATTTTAACCATATGGAGGACTCGATGCTATCCATGAAAGATAGAAGTCGAAGAAAGATTGTAAAGGTGAATATGACCAATAAATAATCTAATATGTATGCTGGGGCGAAGTGCGCTTGCTGGCATGTGGGAGGGAGACCAGTTTCTGTATATCCCTGTTGAAAAAATCGAGCGATCTAACTAATTGTTTAGTTGGATCGAAACCGGTCATTGATCGGTTTCAGTTTTCGGCGGTTTTGGTGATTGACCCGTATTTAATTTTTTTAAAAAATATATATATAAATTCCCAAAAATAAATAATTTAGTTTGTAATACATTTTTTTATTATTCTTTACACTATGGTAAAGATTAAAAAATGTTTTGATCATTAATATTTATTTTAATTC